ACATCGTGAAAACGGGGACACGGTCTTATAGAGCAGAAGAAAACGTGTCGTGTCGAATAAGATACAATAATAAAAAAAGCTCTCCAGTGAAAGAGACTTTGAAGGATGCTAAGATTGAACTAAGATATTTAGAATGTGTGGACAATGTAGATGTAGAATAAAGTGTGATCAATGCAAGAAAATAGCGATTTTTTAAAATTCGCGGCATTGTATATTCTATTGTACCTTTACAATAGTCAGTCATAGTAAAAAAAACAGTATTGTATTTTAGGATTATTGGACATCGTGAACCTCGGATACAATGAACCAAAAGTGTTAATCTCAAAGGTTTACTATTAACACAGTCGACTGTAATTCTATTAATTCATGTTATTTAGAAAGATCGTGTGTTGTATATACAGGAAATGCAACATGAATTTGTTTCATTAAATAAAATAGAATTTGTTTCGTTGCTTACGTACAAACTAGTGATGCAATAACACATACTTCCTCGCACTGTTTCTAAATTTGCAATGTTCGAAAAAACAGCGTTCAACGAAAATGAGCCCAACGCCATTCTTTTAAACGTTCCTTGTTCTACCCTTGGAAGAAATTGAAGAAAAAATTGGAGCGGTTTTAGAGAAATTGTTTTATAAACTGCACAAATTTTAATTTCTAATGAAGCAAAACCTACTTGTATATTTCAAAAGATTCTACTTTTTAAAGAGCTGATTTTGTTTAGAACAAATATTTCTATCTTCAATATTGTAATTTTCAAATGTAAAAATATTTCAATTTTTGAAAATATAGTCCGCCGCTAATGAGACTAACAGCACTTTTTTACCGTCCTTTGATACATAAGAGGATATTGTTTTCAACTGAGACGTTTTTGAGAAAAAAAAAAGTTTTAAAAAATCCCTATCTTCAATATTGTAGTTGTAGGCCGGTCAGATGGCCGAGATCGTTAGGGCAGTAGTGCTGAAAAGGGATGAATTACAGCATTATGGCCTCCACATGAAGACCGAACGCCTTCCTTTTCCCCCGCGAGGGTTAATCAGGCCCCGAGCACTGCAAAGCAAAACCTGATAGCTGCCATCCCAGATACTAAGAAATATCCCAAGATTACATACTTCTTTCTATGATTTCGTGGTAAAAAAAATCATGTATTCAGCTCGTAGGAAAGTTTCTTTGGCGTTCTCGTCTCAAAATGCCGGGCTTCTATCTTCGCCGCATCCGCATTTGAGCGCAAACTGACTTTCTGCAATAGTTACGTAAATAACTATTTTTATTCAAAAATGAAACATCTAAAAAGTAACTCATCGACCATAAAAAAATCGACATAAAAAAAACGACTGCCAAAAAATGAAATTTCGATGTTTCGACAACAAGCCTATCTCAAGAATATCATAAGTCAAAATCGATTTTTTTAAAAATATTTTCTTGAATAATTGAGAAAGTTTTCAAGACGTTAATATTTGAAATATTTAATACCCAAAATTAGATTCACTGTGTGTACATTTTATTGAGTTAAGCTAGTAGTGGAAGCAGTTGAGCCCGGGGGGGGGGGGGCTTGCTGTTTTGTTAGTAATCCCATAAAATCAAATTTTTATTCCATGCACTGATGGAAATGAATTTTCAATAACATGGGAGTGAAGGGGAAAATGTCCAATTTTCAAATCTTCCTAATGTCACTTCGCTGGTACTTTTATTCATCATTCAATCATGTGTAAATGGGTCGGGTAGGAATTCTGGAGCTCAAGAAAATGTGCGCTTCTCCCGATACATCACATGCTACTGTTTCTTTGGTTTTCTTTTTTTCTTCTTTTTTAACATAAATCAATAAAATCAAATTTAATGTAATACTTGGAGCCTGACGTTGAAATAACTACACGCAAGATTTTTTTTTTTTCACTTAGTAAGAAATATTTGCATTCACGACAAAGCTAAGATATGGAGGTGTCCTGATATTCAGAGTAAGGCCCTGTATTTGATGTACGGGTGAGAGATAAACCCTGCTGCATTTCGACTCATCTTTCAAACAGGACGTTGCTCCACTAGCATGTAATATAGAATGAATTTGCTAAAATAGAGACGGCTGCTTAAGACGTTTGGGTATGGGGAGAAAATTAAATGTATTGCCATAAAGCAAACCAATGGGCCACTTCAACATTTTCTCTGTAGATGGCTAGGAAACAGGAGAGGTAACTCAGACCGAAATAGGAGTTCTTAACCCAAAATAATTATAGGATAATGATAATAATATTAAAAATTATACAATGCAGCTAAAACGAAATATTATGCATTTTTATAAGAGTAAGATTTATTTTAAAATATTTTAGGCTTCCTAGGCTGAAGTAACCCACTTGCAGCTTGAAAATTTGCGAATCAGATGTGAAGCTTTTGAAGTACACTTACTGCAAAATTGTAAGATGTTACAAATACTAAGTAGTTACAGCAAAATTGAAGATGTTTTGAGGATATCATTTTTACTTGTATATAATAGGACATATTTCTATAATCCTTGAAATGTATTTCAAGAAGATATTTTTCATTCACTAGAGACAATCGCTCATTATTTAATGTTTCCATTCACAAATTCCGCATTTGCGGTCGAAAAGCCGTAATCCATTTCTGAAATGATCTCAGTGTTGATATTATTGATCCTATTTTAAAGGAACTATAGAGATCGGAACGTAAATTAAATGTAACTTTCTTATGGGCCACTTTCTTACGTTAAGAAAAAGTTTATAATTTTGTTTCGTTATTCCTTGACAGTATATAAATATCGGTATTAGTAGAGAATGTATATTGGTTGGCCCACATTGTCGTTATTCATGAATACGACAATATTTAAAAAAAATAAATATGCCTCTTGGAAAACAGTCAGCGGCACAAACAGGGACAAACCGTAATCGTCTATGGGGCGCATAGGGAGTCTGGCACGGGTGTCAACTGACCACGAACCGCCGCTATCTGTTGCACATACACCGTGGCTGCACACCAGTCCCGTAACGAATCACCCTGATGACGAAAAGACCCGCAATTACGCACCCTTCTCAGTGTACACAACAGTGGCAAGTTCCATTACAAACAGCCGTCAGCAGTACTTTGTTATGCAGGTGGAGTGGAATTGTAAATGCCACGACGCGGGTATCTCCTGACACCTAGCCCGAGATTCTCGACGGACAGGATTCCCCCTCCCCCACACTTTCGATCAAAGAACGATCTATTTTACACACTGGCCCACGGACGCGAAGGTTACTCCACTATTCGCTTACGTGTCACGCTCTAGCGAAGATGCCTGCCCCCTCTCTTTCACTCTGTATTCAGTGATAACCTCAAGCTTTGGAAACGGTTTACGCAACGCTGTTATCTTGTAAGGCACAGACTCTCATGACGTGATCCAAACTATCGCACTTCTTTGTGAACCGTGAAAAGTTAAATAAACGGTAAACGTGTATAAAACAAAACGCAGGTATGTAATCAACATGCAGTGGGTATATATGTGACAATGAAAGACGAAAACTGGTGTTATGACTAACCCCAAGTGATTCTTGACGTTTACTGAGATGCCTAGAGGACTTGCATATTAATTACACAAACAATAAACCTTGGTAAAATTCGACATCCACTAACACCCCTTTGCGAAGGTTGAATACTGATGTAAATGTCTGTAAACTGCATATTTCCTTCTTTCCTTTTTCTATTTTCTCGTTTCTTTTGTGAACGACTCGTAGACTCCTCTAACAGTTGTGCATGAAGTGCCAGATCGGTACTTGCTCTCAAAATTAAGGGAAAAGAATGACAAATACGTAAAATAGAGAAGGGTTTCCGATTGACTGGTACAGATACATTTTGACCCGCACGTTTTAGCCAAGGTTTTTCAAGGGTAAGGGTCATCAAATAATCGGAATAGGCAAAAGGACGATGTTCTACAAATTTTAAGTAGAATTATTCATTATCAAGCTATCATAAGTTGTCAAGAAATCAAACATTTTGGATTACTAAACGAATTTCAATTTTTTAAAATTTATCTACAACTGATGATACAAAATCTGTTTTCGAATAATTTCATATTTTCTTTAAGTATGTGTGTTGCATCATATATACATTTAAAATAAAGTATGAACATCAATATATTGCTTTTCTGTATTCTCATATCATTAACATAACTAACATTTCTCAGGCTCTTATTAGCGGACACTGATCTACCTCTATTAGTTGAAGTGTCTGTCACAATTTTAATTCAATATAATATTTAACTCTCACTGAAACACGTGGTTAACATTGACAATCGATAAAAGATGCTGGTCTGTATTGGGTTTTCAAACATATAACGTGGAAAAACTCGTGAACTTTCTAAATTTCGTGCTTCGGAAATACGACTTTGTGATGACATCGTTGATATAATATTAAACGCATTTTGCAATTCCGAATAAAGGTGGCTTGAAGGTTTCGGCATGAATCGTTCTGATTCCTTTTTGTACTCTCGAATGTCACGTACATCCACAAAGTTTATATCTGGCGGTGATAAGTACTTCGCAGCCCAAGGCTGTGTGTCCCCTACTCCACTCACAGTGAAGCGAGAGCACCCTGCGCCATCTCTGAGCGCGCTTTGGAATTAGAAGTAGGTAGATCAATGCAAGGCATTTTCAATAGAGATGTGGTTCCTGTGTTACGTAAATGTTTAGGACACGGGCGCTCGTTGCAATATTTATCCATAATGTTTCTTTGTTTGGTGTTATTCCGTACCACATCATGCGACAAACTGTTCGCATAAATGTGCGGCGACGCGACGTACGATATTTTGCCTGTCAGTGCTCCAGAACATAGTCGAATGGAGGTTCTGCGAGTTCTAAGGTGTTTGCTTTATCCTAACAAGTCGGCAGCCTGAAACGAACACTGCAGCCGCTTAGGCGCCGCCGCCGCAGCTGCCGCCGGCCAGCTGATGATGACAAAATGGTTGGTGGTTTCGCATCTGAAGAACGTTTGAAGCGTCATCGTCGTGCCGCCTCGGGATCATGGACGGGCCGGGAGCAGCGGCGGCGGCCACCGAGGGCTCAGCTGAGCTCGTGGGCGCGGGCGCGGGCTCGGACGCGAGCGCGAGCGCGGGCGCGGGCGCGAGCGCGAGCGCGGGTGGTGGCGAGGCCCCTACCAGCCCCGGGGGTGGCCCGTGCTCCAGCGGCGAGGCACTAGGGTCGGGAGCTGCGGCCCCGGCCCCCGCGGACTCGACCCCGCACCCCGATGGCTCGCGTCCCGGCTCGCCCGCGCCGCCCGCGCCGCCCGCACCACCCTCGCCGCGCGACGGCACCCACTCGGACCTCCCCCGGGACGAGGCCGAGCGGCCGCCTCCGGACGGCGGTGGCCTTGATCAAAAAACGCGAAAAATTCGGCACATCGTTGAAGAAGCTATTAGGTAAGGGCTCGAGGATGCGTTGTATGGCATGCACGCGTGGGCTTGTGTCAAGATGAAAGCTGTTGCGCCTGTTCTTTATCGGAAGAGAGGCCCCATTTGGATGATGTTTTTGTTCTCCCCGCTCGTGCGTGCGTGCGGGCGCAGCGGGCGCGCGTCCACGGACGAGTATGCAAATGAGCGCGACTGGCGGAGAGCACAGCGATAGGCAATAAATTCACTATACTTCCAAGGTCCCATAATTTACCACCATCATCGCTTCAATGATATCACTTCGTTGATTTTAAAAATATTTGTTTTGCGCTCCGGTGGGGTGCATTGTCAACTGGCAACCCCCAACACTTACCAACTGTCACTTGTCGATGACAAACGAAACTGTTATTTTTGCCAAGTATCAATAGTACATCGCATTATTTGTAGTTGGCTGATACGGAAGTTTTCAAACAATTATCATTAATTGTCAACAACACAAGATAGCTGGATAAGAGTCAGACTGTGATCAAGCCAAGACATTGCTTCATAAGACATACAGATCTTCACATTCTTTCTGTAAAGTCATATTATATACAATAATAAACAACCATGTTTTTGTAAACTTCAATTGGCTGTACCAAGTATATGATTAGTTACAAACATTTTACCATTATAATTGTCAAATGATTTATGCAAGACACATTTTTCACAGTATATTTTGAATATAACCAGATGAAGATAGCATTGTTATTCTCCAAAGAAGTAGCAAATCCATATTCCTAGAACTATTTTTATTTCAAAAATGAGAAGCATATATCCTATTCTTTGCTATCATAAAATCATGGGTCAATTTTACACATATTCTGTTGGACAGCTCTTAATTCAAAGGTTTATAGTTAATTGCTTATTAATTCATATTAATTGCAATGCATTTGCAATGGGTGATTTTTATTTTTTTTACATCCATAATACCTGTGAACATGCTTGATGAACATTTAAATTAAATCAGATCAATTTTTGCAATAATAGAATAGTGAATGTTTTATTCTATCAAACACTTGAACAAAACCTTTGAATTTTTTGTGGCAGATTATGAGAAAGCAATGGGAATTTACAGGAAAAAATTTGAAGAGCCCTGTACCCATAGCCAAAAATTAGATAAAGTTTAAACTTATAATGTTTTGAAAATGCACACAAAAATTTTATCAGTCTTTTCACAACAATGGCCAGATGCCAGATACTAAGACAGGCCAATAGAAGTGTGAGAAGCCTTCTCCTCTTCTTAAATTTAATTTTATTGCTCTATTAAATGAGTTATGAAAATTATTTTTATGGGTAGTCTTTGTAAGTATCCATAAAGAGGAAATTATGTACAACAAAAATAAAATTAGTAGTGTGATAATATAATAATATGATAATAATTGTATTTTAAGAAATACGAGTTTCCTTCCTTAATTAATCATGTTTTCAACCTACACATTGAACAATACACTGAATAATATCTAGATATTTTGTTTTTAAATGTAGAATGCTGGAAAAACTAAAATTTGTTTTTCTGTTGCAGTTCAGAGTCACGGCAAGTGGTACTGAAAATCCTTGATGAAGTGAACCAATTGTCAATGGTGGAAAAATTGTATCTTTATTTAAAGTTGCCCACTGGTAAAGCAGCTCCTGTGGATCCTCTCCGCCAGTAAGTAAAATGTGACTTAATACAAAGCTGTACCAGAAACAAAATACAGCCTCTTTATTAAGCTAGACTCGTCTCCACAACAATCAAAACATTTTTGTAGGAAAATTTTTATTTACGAGGAAAAACCCACTTTTTGTGCCATACAAAATGTATTTCTTTTTATTTAATTTAAGAAACACTTTTGATTTTTGAATAAGGAAAATATGATTGTTATATTTATTTTAAAAAATAATTCACAATCACAATAATTTCATTACAGTTTCCATTCTTTTTACAGAAGTTATTCATCAGTCTTATTTCAGAAATTTTGCAAACTTTGACCTACTCTAGAATATTAGTAACGTAAATGCAGGTATTCAAAACACTTAATCGAATTTGAAAACTTAATTTTATTTGTAATTCGGGGTCAAGGTTTGTTGATTTTAAAGATACATGGTGAAACTGAATTATTGTATATTAAGATGTGATCGATTTGTAGGGTAAATTGCATATTTTAATTCTATGGAATAACATCTTACTTGTAAAACATTATTACAAGCTTCAAACAATGCAGAATATGGGGGGAGGGGAGAGAGTATTCATTTTCACTTACTGTAAAATGAAAAGAGTTGTCTATTGAAAAGTTTACATAATGTAATTTAGGTGTTATATTGTCAAAATTTTCCCTGTATATTAGAATGGAAACTTAAACAAAGGACTGAAAAGATCAAACAAATGTTAGCATCTGTAATTATTTTTATATTATAACTAGTTCCATTTTAAACACTGATCAGTTTGTAGATAGCTTCCAGGCCCATGATAAAAAAAGAAAACATGTTAGTAGAATTATTTTATATATATATTTACATTTCCCAATTTACATTTTTTGTATTTTGTTAAAAAACATCTCTTAACAAATACCTCGCATGAGTGTATACACCTTTCATAGCAGGCAATTTTCTGGGTACAGGCCAAAAGCTTACTATAAAAACAAAGTCAAAAATTTATGAATTGGCAAGTATTGATGTCTAATTATCACTGGTTCAGTAATGTGTAATGCTTCTGAAGAGAGAATCTTGTTAATTAGAAATGTAAAGAGAATGCATACAGGTCTTGTTTTTCAAATTGTCATAATGTCTTGTTCATCCAACCAACTCGTTTATCTTGAGCTGGCAAAGTAAGTAATTCAGTTGTCAGTGAAACTACGATGAAGATGTGGGTTCAATATACGAAAGCGAATTTGTAATAAAATGAGAGTGGATTTGTTTCTTCAGTAATTAAAAAGAAGTGACAGGCACAAAAACATGTTGGAACTCAAAAGAATTTTCTGTGAATGATTAGCAGTGAATTGTATTATTAATAATGCAGTGAAAAAATAAATTAAAGGAGAGTTATTCCATGATCATGATGAAGGAGGGATACACAGGCATGTTCTGCCCACTCTAGTATAGTAGTACTCTCCACTATTATACTGGAATTTACAACAATGAACAAACCAATGGAGACTCAGAAGGTCAAAAATGGGAGAAGAAAAATCAGTGTTTTATTCATCAACGCATATGTTGTGTTGGGAAGTAAAGAGAATAATGTATCAGTTGTGATCATTATTGTGGAAGAATATTCTATTTCAGGAGGAAGGTTCTTGGTGAAAATCTATGAACAATGTACAAGGCCATCAACGGTCATGATTCAATTTAACAAAGACGTTTAATAAAATAAACAAATCTCAATTAGTATGAAATTACCTACTTGGCCATTCAAGAAAAAAATACTCTTGCTTCAGAATGTTGTGAATATAAGGAGAGAATAAAACTTTTGGAATGTATAAAATTTTTATCAAATCTACACCAACGTGTGTAGCCTAAAACAAGGTCGACCAATTACATTTCTGGTCCCCTTTTTCCAGTGAACTTTTTTGTATTTACATATGACATATTTTACTTGTAAATACATAAAATTTATTGCAAAGAGAAGTAAATTATACCTTAAATGATTTATAATAATAAATACAATTGGATTTATGTTGAACTATTTACAGACCTGTCAGGCCTGAGACTCTCTTCCCCAAATGTGTAACAAATTTATCAATTTAGGGGATTTGAAAAATTAATGTGAATTATTGTAAAAAATATAGTATTTAATTATTCCATGTTAATATTTTTTTTAATGTTTTGGCTTATGCATAAAATATCAGTGGTTGTTAATGGCCTTAGCTGTTTTTAAAGAGACCTAAATTAACGCAATTTAAAAGTGCCCTAATTGTCAGGTTAAAATGGGAAAATTAATAATAGTAATCGTTTTCGCACAACGTGCGGAGTTAAATGGGAAAATAATCAGGTATTGAAAATATTTACGGATATAAAATGTTATATCACGTACAGCCAGGGAGGTCCCCTTTGAAAATGTTTAGGTGAGCCACGATCTCTCTAGCCCCTCCTCCGCGCAGGCCAATCGACCTAATTTTAGACATGTGGGCTACTCACAGATTCTGGGTCGAATCATCTATGTCGTGAACTTACCTCCTCCACTCCTTACCTTAATCATTTTGCAAAATCTGGCGAGCAGATTCGAAGAAAAGTGATGATAACAAGAGTACGATTGACAGATGAGGATCGAAAGCTTGTAGACACGCGCCTGAATATAATAGATAGATGTTAGGGCATACCCACAATGCAACGAGAAAGGTGTAATACGTGCAGCAAATAATTACTTGCGAACCACGATGTACCTGTGGATTCGTAGCCTACGAGTTTTAAAAGTGGTGAAAACAGTATTTTATTCTGCTCCGATTAACGCTATCTGTAAAGAAAATTAATTCAAGACAGGGTTCCTCTAATTATGCAGGGAATACTCTAGTTTTAGTCTGGGCTACCTATCACTACGTAGTAACAAATGAAATGTTTTTAGGAGGGCATGATAACACACAGAATAATGCCCAGAATAGTATATAGTACTTGCGCTATTATTAGTAGTAGTAATAATAATAACAATAATTAATAAATTAATCATAATAATAGACATTGAATCATATTCTTGATGTTTTAATTCAACACTTAAACACGTTTAGTATACATATACACTATTACATACCTAAACCCGCTTACTACAATATAAAGTCTTGCACTGAAGCGCGTTCTGCCAAGATTAGCGCCCGCTGCCTTAAGATATCTAGCGCCCCAACACCCAGACTTCAAAACAATGACCCTCTCTACTCCTTTCTCACATAGGTTGAATTATCCTAAGTCATTAAACTAATTGGAGGTGCTCGCTTGTTTCCCCCATCGATATTAAACTGTGCTATTCGTCAGTTGTCGCAGACCACAACGGTTTCTTCCCACGTACCTACTAGCGTCATTTAGGACCTATGTGCCACGTTGCCAAGCTTTCGATTTAGTAGATAGCTCAACTGAGCGTCTACTAGGAATTTTGAAAAAATATCTACCAATGAAAATGGATGTATAATTTAGTAACTTTTAATACATCTTAACGTGATAGATTTTGTCTTGTAATTTTCTCTGGCTACTGCCAATAGCCTCTGTAATTATAACATTATTAGTATCACCCCCTAAATTCACTAAAGATGTTATAAATCGGTAAAATATTATTCCTATTCCAGGTCGCAACTAGCTTCCTAAGCAGCAGATCTAGTAAGTGTGGTTGCCTCTACACCTACTTAGCTCAAAATACGGGCTCTTCCTAATAAAGCGATGTCTTGTTCTTCTAAGTCTTTTGAATGACCCGGGAGGTTGGACAGTTCTTCCATAAATTTTGTTGCGGAAGAAATCCCAGAGCTTCTGTATTGGAATGTCCCGTGTTTTTCTTACGCCCCACATCCCAGTGATCTCGATTTCAAAACTCTTGTATTAAAGACGTTTCTCAGTCTCTTATGACGGCACAGCAACATCTATCGCATTTATTTCTCCAAATATCTCCAAATTCAACTTCTCCAAAAAAAAAATGAATTTTTGCAATTTTCGAAAAATCCGGTATTTCTACGCAAATGAGGCTGGCACTGTTATTTTAAGTGTTCTCTACGCTATCCGAGGGCAATGTTTGAGCGAAATATGTGGAGCCATTTTTGAGAAAATTTTGAAAATATTTTTGAGGCTTCATATAAAGTATCCTCCAAAAATAAAAATATCTGCTTCAAACTCGCAGGCCCTGGAGTTCCTTTCAAGTGATCGAGGAACCGGGAGAGGTGGCTCAGGGCATCAAATGATGTCACTGCAGTGCCACTGTGAGGTGCCTTTGCAATGTAGACACATTCAATCTCTTCTTACAATTGCGAAACGTTCAGAAAAAATATTTCATGATCTAATACTGCAGTTACCCCTGCACTTACAGAGGGAATATGGTTATATCGTACTAGAGAACAGGTGGTAGAGAAAAGTTGCACGAGAAACGTTCACACAAACAAACGTTCTCCCGAAACGACACCAACTTCAACATGATTAGATTTCACGAATTGACCCAAGGCCTTTGGAGAGTGGCATGCTGTCATCTGGCCTATAGAACGGGAACGCGAATGGCATAATGACGATTGCCGTGGCTTCGATGTTACACAGAGCATTATGTAGTGTATGTTTCAAAAACAGCTATTTCGGAATGCATTTCGAGCGAAAGCAGAAAGTTCATATCAGCACTAGGATTACCCTAAGCAATAATAATTTGCTAGGTGCTTTAAAGTCCGATCATCGAATATGTACTGATCCTTATGATAGTTTTATTGAAGGACTAGACAATTATTATGAAGGGGTGAACACTGCTATCTACCAATTAACACACAAAAATTCATACTAATTCTTGTAAAATCATTTACCGGTTTATCTAAAGATGGCTATCTGAAGCCTGGTGCTGTATAGAATGATTATCAAAAGCATAATTTCAAAGTGCGCTTCCAGAAGTAATGAATAAATTCATTATTTTCATGAACGAATTTTAGATTCAAACGCGTTTTAGTATGCATCATGATATTAAAAATAGAGTGTGTAAGCCATCTAAAGCACGACACAAGTTCACAT